CCTCACTTGCAAAAATATATTTATTTTCTCTTTTGGGCTATCCGGAAGTAAGCTTTTTCTCTTTCGCACTTTCCCATTTTCAGATCGTATTGTGTGTTTTTTGTTGAATTTTTTATGTTTCTGGAATTGCATGTCAATGATCTGGATATTCAGTGTTAGTTTTGAACCAAAACCATCTAATTTTCTTTCTTTCTTCTTAATCAAAACTTTTAGTACTCATAATGAAAGATATTCAGTTCATCAGAATAGAAGTGAAATAGGGTCCTAGGCTAATTTTTTTTATGATCTTGTTTGGTTTTTCTTTAAATCAGGGAATTGGTTGTGAGTATCGACATAGTGAAATCGCTAGGCTCAATCCGAGAGACTGTTGGTACTAGTTTACTGGGAATTGTATTGATCTGACATGTGGTTTTTGGCGTCCTGTGAGCTCGTATTCTTTTTAATAAGTTCATGTTGATTATGGGATTGATATATCGTGAACGAATTAATTTTTTTACATGTTTTGGAAATTTTACAGTTGAATTATATTGAATTATAGCTTTAGAAGACAATTCTGCATGCACACAATTCGAAAGGTATCATGACAGGGTAGTATATTTGGAGCAACTACTTGATCCTGTCATGATGCCCTTTCAAGTTGCGAAAGAGACTGAGAGGTGAATGTGATGTTTGAGATTTCATTATATTTGTTCATATGTTGGAAAATCTTTAAGCACAAGGACTAAACGAAGAAATCATTATATGTCATTTATACAAAATAATTTCAGCTTTGTTGGTGACCTTCAACAATGATACTTAGTTCATCTTAGTAATATTTGTCAACTATACATTTCTAACCCCATTTTTTCTCACAAGCATTTCATCGAACATCTATGCTTCAATTGAGATGACATGTATCTAACATTACACCTTGAATCGTTGATGGTCCCGATAGGCCCTTAGTCGTGTCTTCTCTCAATGAACCCTTATTCAAGCCAACACCTCCACTTAATTCAAAGTTAGAATAGAATTTCTCATGCATCACCGACTGAAAAGTTACGTTGGAAATGAGAAAATAGAAGGGAAAAAGGAAATTCGAAATCGAAAAGGAATTTGGGGTTTAGAATGAAATTTAGGATTGTGTTGCAAGTTTTAAAAGTTGGGGGACCTAAATGCAAGCACCTGAAAAGTTCAGTGACTATATTACAAACGTACTAACAGTAGTGTAATGGCGTCAAACAGTCGGGGATCATATTGCAAATAGACTAAATGTTGGGGGACCATATTGCAAACGAACTAAATATTGAGAGTTGTATTGCAAGTTTTAAAAGTTGGAAGACCTAAATGAAAGCTTTAGAAAAGTTCAGTGACCTTTACTATACTTTACCCTAAATTTTATTATAATTTTAAATATTTTTTTAACAAAACTAACGTCTCTATTTGCATTAAAAAAACTCAACTAACCACTAAATGTCTACTTTGTGTTAAGTAAAACTATTTATTTTTTAAAAGATACAAAACCATTGGAGTATGAATTAAAATTTATTATTTAATAAAATTTGTAACAATTTAGAACTACATTTATTTTGGAATTTTTAGTTGATTTGAATAGATTTTTTTAGCTTCTAACAAGCATTTATGTTTCCTATTAAAAATCAACAATTTATGTTTACAATAATTATTTAATAGAAATATGTTATAAATACTTTCAACCATTAAATCATTTGACAAAAAAACAATCAATCACCCTTACAGTTATTGATGCTTAAACATATGACCTCTAAAAACAATAACAATTCCTTTAACCACTAAAATAAATTGATGTATGCATTGATTCTCAAATTTTTAAATGGACATTAGCTTTACACTTGAAATTTTTACAAATTAATAATTTAAATATTTATTTTGTTATAAAAAGATTTAGATATCTTAAAAGATGTTATAATATATATATATATATATATATATTCAATAATACGTCTAAATCTAAATCCAAGTAATCTTTAAAAGAGCCATTTTATTATTTAAATTCATTTCTGAGTTTAAATTATTGATTTTTTTTTACAAAACCTTTTAAATATTTAAAAAATATATTTTGATCTTAAATAATTTTAATTGGTTCATTGGATCAAAGCTTACCAAACGTCCTATCTAGAACTAGAAGCTGTTTACGAGATGTCCGACAACTATTTTCAACGGCTAAGATCCACCCGATTATATCTGACCCTGCCTCCCACACTGTCTGCTGTGAAACTTAGGATGAGAGCACAAAATTCTAAATTTAAATTTAAATTCATTAAAATTTAGATGAACTATCTTTAGAAATAAATATTTCCTTCATCTAATAATTTAAAATTTCTGTTAAATATTTAAATTTATAATTTGCATTTGTATAAGTAATATTAATTCAGACGATAAATATTCTAGATATCTACTTATATACATTCTGAATTGATAATAAATGATTATTTTAATATTTAAATTTAAATATTAAGATTTATTATATCTAAAATCATAAAAAATGTATAATCTAAATTATCATTAATATATATTAAATAAAAGAGTTGGATTTGACAACATATTGACTGATTAAGATATAACTTATATGTTATTTCGATGATTTATCATGTTTTAGATCTCTAGATTAGATTTAAATATGTGGTTATGTTCGTGGTTAGTTTATTCATGTCACTCGACTTTGATATATGGTTTTTCGATGTTCTTTCAGTAGTTTTCATCTCATTTTGTGATTCATTTGTCTATACAGTCAGATCTATTTATATCTATATTTTTTAAGTATTTTGGTTGATTTTCTAACATTTTCCTTATATGATCATTGTATTATCTTAGGTGACTAATTTCTTGTGTTAATAATTATAGGAAAAAATATGTTAATTATGCGTTTAATTTTTTATTATAGTTGTAAACATAATTCTAGGTATCTTTTAATAAAACTAACTATTTCTATTAAGAAAATAAAAAAAAACTAAGCCGAAACTGGTAGTTTGTCCCAACAAAGCCAAGCCAATAACCGGTTGCTTCATTCAAAAGAAGGAACCGTCGGTTTACACGTGCCATAGTTCCAGCTGTCGGGTCTTACCCTACCAAAAAAGAAGAAGAAGGCAATTTCGTATTATTATTACATTTACAATATATATTTGGGTAAACTATACTTTTAATACATAAATTATTACTTTTATTTTGTTTTTGATACTCAAACTTTATTTTTTAAAATTATACTTAATGTTTAGTTTGTATTTCAATTTAGTATTCTACAATTAAAAAATTAATAAAATTATTGATGTGATATTTTTATTTTTCAATAGTGATTGACATTATTTTATAGTGACACATCAACATCACCGCTAAGTTTTTAACGACGAGTATCAAAATAAAACCTAAACTAAACATTAGATATGATATTAAGAAAAAAGTTTAAATACTAAAACGGAATAAAAGTAATAATTTAGGTATAAAACTTGTAGTTTACCCTATATTTTTATAATACATAAAAATTAAGAATTATTTTTCTAACAAAAAGAAATTGAATGAAGTTGAAATTTGATTTGAAGTCCGCTCAGCTGGAGCGCACTCTAAAGCCCCGCTTCCGGATTTTAGGATTCAAACTGTGGGCCCCTCTTGCGTAACCCCACATGTTCCCTCTCCTTTTGTATTTCGTACTCATTTTTATTTATTTTTACAATAATATATAAAATATTTATTCAAAATTATATATATATATATATATACTTCTCCAGTCTCTAAAAAAAAGTTTCAGTTCGTATTATATATATTTACTTTTGAAAATTGCTATTAAGAAGTACTTTCAAAAATAATTTTAAAATGTATTTTTAGATTGTTTGGTTTAAAATTTTAGTATCTGATATTGTTGTCGATAAATATTTTTAATAACATATCTATTTTAAACATGATGCTCTAAAATAAAAAAAATTAATTATCAATAATAAAATATATCAATTTAACTTATTGTAACAATATTTTTAATAATTTATTAATTGTATTTTGATATATAAAATATTAATTTAAAATATTTTTAAATGATTAATATAATTTATTTGAGAAGAAATTTTCTAAAATTAAATAATATTTTATGCTTATAATTATAAATAATAAATAAACGCACATTTTTATGAAATAATGATAAATTGTTAATTATGTTTGATAGCGTAAAGAAATAAAAGGTAGATCGATGGATGGTAAAATGGATATTTTGCTCCAAATGAAATTTTGAAACCAAAAAGCTTTGTTTTCCCAGCTTCTACTTTTGGTTTACAAGTGCGGTTAAGAAGCAAACTCTCATATATATATATATATATATATATGAAAAAAACGAGGTGTTTGGTATTGATTCTAAGTGCAAACGTACCTTTTAATTCAAACACACTTTTTAAGCGCTCCCAAACGGGCGTAATGTATTCCCCCCCCCCCCCCTAATTTCTTCCGAAAATTATATTTTCATTGCCATTCATCTATAAATTGAGTGTTGATACCTTCAAAGTTTTTTTTTAATTATTTGGAGTTTTATATATTCCAGAATTCCTCGAAACCTTCATAATTTTATATTTTTCGGATAGCTCCAACTCTTTAATGTGACTTCTGGTAGACTCACTGTAAATTAATATATAACAATTAAATCTATTGTCTATAACCTATTAATAACCCTCTTCATCCTAAAAGGGACTCTCTCTTATTCCTTTTAACATCTCTCTCTCATTGTTCATTGTTATCTTCAACCCGATTATTCGCTCTTTTTCTATAGAACAAACAACTGCGACTTTTTTATCTAAACTAGAAAAGGATAAACTGTCAACAACCGACAATCCCTATTTCTGCCTATAAGTTCAGCATAAAGTAATAAATTTTTTGTGTATTATTTATTTAAACTTGAACGCCTGCTCCATATTGTAAAATTCTTTGGCAGAAAATGGAAAGAATGATGATTAAACTCTCTAAAAATTGTGAAATAAGCAGCAATCAATCGAGCCCAACATACCCCACGTGAGCCCAACAGAAAACACATGAAATTAATAAATAGATGGGAAAAGAGGGAGATCAGCAAGAGAAGAATGCGTGACAAAATTTTCAAAGGATATTCCAAAACAACAGAGGAAACAATCAATTCTTGAGGAGTGATTCGATGGATTCAAAAAACATCGGAGCCATCTCAGGATTCGGAGTCTTGATAGCGCATTGAACTCCGGGGCTTCCGATAGCCGTTGTAAGTTCGATCAAGAATGGTATGCCTCGAGGGATTTTAGCAGAGAAGTAGAACACATCTTGATTGGCCTGTTTGCGCTTTGCTATAAAGAGCATATTCGATGCAGCTAGTCGGTCTAGGGTCGCTTTGGCACTGCTCACCACGATACCTGGAAATTCTTTTTGGACCTCGTTTGAATCAGGTATCAATCGCCATGTCTGCATAACAGGAAGAAATCATTCAATGTGAATTGCTAGAAAACTTCAAAACTTGGGGAAACATCAAGGATTTGATGAAAGACCCTTTCAGCAGGAGCGATCGCTCCTATGTACCATAAGAAACCAAAGCAATATAAATTGAACAAATTTGTTACCTCAAGAAAACTAGTTCGCTCCATTCTGCCATCCTCGACAAAAAACACATGCAACAAGATTCTGTCATTGAAGTACCAGACTAGCTGCTGATTATTTTTCACGGCAACCTGCAGAAGAGAGCTGGGAGGACCAGCAGACAGATTCTGGAACAATACCATTGGCAGCAGTGCCCTTGTTGATGCTCCTGGTGGCAAAGGGGGAACCTAAGAGGCAGTACTGATTAAACCCCAGTAATGTAAAATAATGAACTAACTGAAGTTCACAAAAGCCGTGAAAATTTACCTGAAGAGGTCCAGCAGCTGCTAGACCAAAGGAGTTTTTGTTAAACTGAATCATGAATCCATCTAGTGTGACCTGTGTGTTATTCTCAAACAGTAAACTGTAAAATATTTGACCATCCTGCCGAGCCAACTGGGCACTGATTTGCAAACCCTGTCCAGTTGATGCTGGCAGTAAAATAGGCAAAGGAGGGCTGAAATCAAGAAGAAAAAAAAATTACAGTTAGTGCAACATATAGGCATGTATGTATAGCTACATTGATATAACCCCAGTAACATAAGAAATCTGTGAAAAGCTACAGTTTATACTAGTATTAAAAAACTTCGATATTTTAAAGAACATTGACCACATTAAGAGCAAAACATTCTTGTAGATAAAAGAGACTTTTATCTGAAAAACTAACATGTCATGCATTCCAGCATTCTTACCCGGAAGGTGCAGCCAGCTGATCAGTAGGGACAATTGCATTGTTATCAACGCCAATCAGATCCCCTAACAAATCAGGCACTGGAGCTGGGGGTAGCTGCCTAGCTGCAGCATATGGGACACTACTTGAACTAGCTGGCGGTGATGCAGCAGCAGCAGCAGCATGAGAAGGTGAATCAGAATACCCTGTTTCATGTGCATCAGGGTGGTCACCATCTTCTGTTTTATGGGTTGCCATCTTTGTACGGGTCACAAAAGCATCTGGAGGTTTGTGATACACAGAAGATAGTGTAGCAATATTGGCTAGAAGTTCATCAAGAAGAGATGGATCGAGTTGGTTTGAATCATCACTGATCACTGGTTTCTCAGCTAACACAACATCCTTAGCTGCCTGAGAAAAAATTAGGAAGGCTCAACTACGTAGAACTTATTGCACTTTATCAGATGTGTTGATAAAGAGTAATCAACATAGTGGAGAAGAGAAAAGTCTTAAACGTATATTGATAGGTGAAAGTACATCTTGCTTTTATAGGAAAAGTTAGGAGTAAGTGTTCTATTAGAAATAAACTACCTAATAGTTATCCTTATCTATTTAACTAGTAGTTATCCTTATCTATTTAACTCTCTAAGAGTTAGTATTATATTAAATTACTAACTAATAAGACTTATCGCATAACTTACACTCCCCCTCAAGTTGGGGAGTAAATGTTGAAAAAGACCCAACTTGGATGTAATCTCATCAAAGGTAATTCTTGGAAATGCCTTGGTGAGAATATCTGCTAATTGATTCTTCGTTGAAACATAATTGAGCTTCACCGATCCACCATTCACCTTTTCAGAGATGAAATGTTTGTCGATCTCCACATGCTTCGTTTGGTCATGATGAACTGGATTCTTTGCAATACTTATTGCAGATTTACTGTCACTTTGAAGTTCAAAACATTTGTTGGCACATAACCCTAGCTCGGTTAACAGTTTTTGAAGCCAAATTCCTTCGCAAATTCCAAGTGCCATTACTCTAAACTCTGTTTCTGCACTACTTCGAGACACCACAACCTGTTTTCTGCTTCTCCAAGTAACCAGATCCCCAAACAACTGAACAATAGTCAGTTGTAGATCTCCAGTCCGTTAATTCACCTGAACAACTTGAATCTGAAAAAAATTCTTATTGTTCTATCATCACTCTTTCTGAAAATTAACCCATGTCCTGGTGTCATTTTCAAGTATCTTAGAATTCTATTCACAACCTCTAAATGTTCTTCTCTCGGATCATTCATATATTGACTCACTATACTGACAGGGAACGCAATATTACGTCTAGTAAGTGATAAATAAATTAGTTTACCTACTAGCCTTTGATACTAGCCTTTGATACTGTTCTTTGTTCACGAGACTTCCCAATTCTTCTTTCCTTAGCTTAAGATTTGCTTCCATGAGTATATATCCTTTGATTGATCACTATTCTTTCTTTTGACCTTGCAACCTCCATGCCAAAGAAATACCGTAAAGTTCCCAAGTCTTTGGTTTCGAGCTCCTTTGCCAGTAGCTTTTTCAGTCTTTCTATCTCCATACAATCATCATCTGTTAGAATGATATCATCCACATAAACAATCAAAATTGCTTTTTAGCTCTTGGAAATTGCTTAAAATCCATACAAGGACTTTAGTAATCTGCATGCTTTTCCTGTATTACTCTTCACACCCAGTGGAATTAGCATATATACTTCATCCTCCAAGTTTCCGTTTAGAAATGCATTTTTGATGTCCAACTGATGAAGCACCCAATTCTCATTGACTGCCAATGACAGTAACACTCTCACAGTGTTTAGTTTTGCTACCGGAGCAAACGTTTCTTGAAAATCAACTCCAAAAGATTGAGTAAATCCTTTCACCACTAATCTTGCCTTGTATATTTCAATGCTACCATCAGCTTTGTATTTTACCGTGAACACCCATTTACAGCCGACTGATTTTTTATCTTTCGGAAGATAAACTATAATACAAGTATTGTTGTTTTCCAGTGCCTTTAATTCCTATTCTATTACCTTTTTCCACTTGGGATCTTTCAATGCTTCTTCCACCGTATTTGGAACAATAATGCTATCTACATTGGCTGTAAAGTTCTTAAAACAAGGCGTTAGCTTTCCATATGCAACAAATCTATCAATTGGATAATTTTTGCATTTTCTTACTCCTTTCCTTTGAACAATCAACAAGTCATTATCATCAATTAAAACATTTAATTTAGTGGAAGAACTCTGATTACCTCCTTCATTCTCCAAAGGATTCTCGTTCGGTTCCAGTTCATGACAGTGTTCATGCTGTGTTGGAGACTCGAGATTAGGTTCGGGGATTGATTTAGATATTAGTCTTTGTCATCTTTTGTAAATCAGCAATTCGGATTGAGGTATTTGAGGCGAAGTGATATGTTGATCATGCTGAGGTAAGTATGTTTCGGTGGGCTGGTTTGGCAAGGATAAATTTTCTGGGTTCGATAGTGCTGTTTGGTATGGCTGGAGCGATTTTTTAGGCTGATTCGACTGGTTCAGCGGTGCTGGTTGGTCAAAAGGAGCTGGCTGCAAATCAAGTGACAATTGTTGTGAGTCAACAAATTGATATTCATTATATGACTCCCCCTATATAACAATTTTAAGGAAAAAAGTGTTATTTCAAAGAAAGTAACGTCTATGGTAATAAAGAATTTCTTAGTACGAGGACATTAACATCGAAAGCCCTTTTGAGTCAAAGAATAACTCAGAAACACACACCAAAATGTTCGAGGATTTAATTTGGACCTGAATGGAACATTGTTATGAACAAACAAAGTACAACAAAAAACTTTAAGGGGTAACAATGAAGTCATTGGTTTAAAATTGGGAAAATATTAAAGAAAAACATCTCTCTGACACTTAAATTGTAACGATTTACTAGGGAGACGGTTAATCAAATAAGTGGCAATTAAAAGGGCTTTCCCCCAAATATAGTTAGAAACATTTGTGGAAAAAAGAAGAGACCGAGTAACCTAAAGAAGATGTTTGTTTTTTCGCTCAGCAATCCCATTTTGTTGAGGAGAATTGACACACGAAGTAAGATGAATAATCCCGTTTTCCTGAAAGAAAGAACCCAAAACATTGGCAAAGTATTCACGACAATTGTCAGAATGAAACATTTGGATAGAACACTGAAATTGAGTTTCAACCATCTTATGGAACCGTTTAAATATTTCACAAGCTTCAGATTTAGTTTTCATGAGAAAGGTCCAGGTAGTACGAGTGTGATCATCAATAAATGAAATAAACCACTGAAACCCATGTAAAGATGAGACCCGGGATGGTCCCCAAATATCATTCTAGATCATGGTAAATGGTTTGGACGGTTTATACGGAGAAGGTAGATAAACACTCTTAATTTGTTTAGCAAGTGGACAAATATCACAAGAAAAAGATTTAGGACTTTTATTGACAAACAAATGTGGAAACAACCTTGCAAGATAAAAGAAACTGGGATGTCATAAACGAAAGTGCAATAACATAACATCGGTTGAAGGTTCAAGTAAAGGAAATTGATGTATAACATTGAATGAAGCAGGTGATTGGGAAAATAAAATTGCTGGAAGTAGGTAAAGACCCCCACAAAGTCTAGCACTGTCAATCACTTCCCCGAGCTTGAATCCTGAAATTCACAAAAAATCAGAGTTAAATTTCGTGGTACAACATAAATCGGCAAACAACTTGCTAATGGAGATAAGATTGCAAGTGAGATTGGGAACATAAAGAACATGAGATAAAAAAAATGTCCGGATTTATTTGAATAGACCCATCACAGGCAACACCAGAAAGAGAACCATCTGCTGTTCGAATATGAAAGATAGACGAGTCGGCATGAAAAGTGTGAAAGAGCCGAAGATCACCTGTCATATGATCACTTGCATAAGAATCCGCAATCCAAGTAGGAGTGGCAGATTTATTAGCCAAAGTAGCAGAAGGAATTCTACCTGCATGTATGGATTGCGAATGAGTGTTTAACTGACTAAAAAACTGCTGCAACTCTTCCATTTGTTTTTTAGTAAACGAACTTCCTTGTAAACCAGCATTCACAACACAATTTCCTTGAGTATCACGTTGTTGATGCTATTTTGAAGACTTCCCATCAGTAGGCTTGCCATGTAACTTTCAACAAGAATCCTACTGTTAATTTCCTAAAAAGGCTACTTTTAAGGCCTTTGTCACTTAAGTTATTGTTTGTTTAAAAGCTCATTTTAGTCATTTTAGAATCATGTAGTTGCATTTGTGGTGGTATTGCTATTTTATCTCTTAAGGGTTCTGTTTGAGAGAAAGATGCAGTTGTTTATGGTGTGCAGGGAATAGCAAGAAAAAGGATTCTTTGAGAAGTAATGCTGCAACATCACACGTTGCTGAAGCATATTGAAATATCTTGGCATTTCTGGCATAGAAAACGACAAAAAGATACAGTTGTACGAGAACAACTGGCTCTGCAAGTGAAATAATGGTTGTAACCGCCTGCCAGAGGACCACTGCCACCTGGAGGATAAGGTTCACATACAAGGTGTGATTCTAGGGGTATGAGGGGTATTTTGCACCCAACAACCTCATCATTACCCCTAGATATTTTTATTATATATGACACCTCACAAGGGAGAGAAATACACGCATACGGGCAGAGCAGAGAAAAATATCCCATTTTTATTTTCTTTTTCCTTTCTTCTTCCTTGGGTGTTCCTCCACTGATAAAGCTCCAAGGAGTGGCGAGCTAGTGTCCGAGAGGAGCTAGCGAGCTAAGGTGGTTCGTGGTGGCCGAGGAAACCTCCGGTGGCACGCATCGAAGGCTTCTTCTCACTTCCCTTTGCTGCTATTTTTCTATTTATTTTTGGGTTGTTAGAACGAATATTTTATGGCTTGTTCTGTGGATATTTCGAACTCCACCATGAACTAACTTATTTGGTGGTTGTTTTAATTATTGTTTAAACTTTATTTTAATGGTGGATTTATGTTTATCTTTGGTATATACTAGCTTTGCTTATGAATGCTTCATCATCTAGGCTTGTAAGAGGCATGAGAGTGTCAATTTCTTAGATGAAGGTTAGGTGTTCGAGAGAAACCTAAACTAAAAATACTTGTAGTATTCGAGAGAAACACAAGACAAAATCATCTTAAGCAATGGCTACAGTGTTTTCAAGGGGCTTTGAACCGGCCTAGGAATACTATATCCTAATCTCTTAGTACTCGAGAGAGACTAGGATAGGATTTCAACGACTAAAAATAGTGTTTTTATCAATAATGTGGGTTGCCAACTTCATTGAGTGAGAGCTGATACCATGGCATCCTATTCTGTTAGGTTTCTTTGACTAGAGATAGCGGGAACACTTTTGGAA